TTCCCCGTTCCCGGTGCCCCGGCTTGGTTCCCAGTTCCTCGTTCCCGGTTCCTGGTTCCCCGTTCCCATTCCCTGTTCCTGTTCCCATTCTTGGTTCCCGTCCCTGTTCCCGTTCCCATTCCCGTTCCCATTCGCATTCCCATCCCTGTTCCCATTTCCCCATTCCCATTTCCCCATTTCCTATTCCCATTCCTGGTGCCCAGTTCCCATTCCCATTCCCATTCCCCATTCCCGTCCCCATTCCCATTCCCGTTCCGTTTCCCGGTGCCCGTCTCACCGCGGGCGGGCAGCAGCCGGTACACGCGGTAGGGCCGGGCTCCGTTTCCCATTCCCATTCCCCATTCCCCATTCCCATTCCCGTTCCCGTCTCACCGCGGGCGGGCAGCAGCCGGTACACGTGGTAGGGCCGGGCTCCGTTTCCCATTCCCCATTCCCGTTCCCATTCCTGATCCCATTCCCATTCCCATTCCCCATTCCCGTTCCCATTCCCCGTCCCGTTCCCATTCCCGTTCCCGTCTCACCGCGGGCGGGCAGCAGCCGGTACACGCGGTAGGGCCGGGCTCCGTTTCCCATTCCCCGTTCCCGTTCCCATTCCTGTTCCCATTCCCATTCCCATTCCCGTCCCCATTCCCCATTCCCATTCCCCATTCCCATTCCCCGTTCCCATTCCCGTTCCCGTCTCACCGCGGGCGGGCAGCAGTCGGTACACGCGGTAGGGCCGGGCTCCGTTCCCGTTCCCATTCCCCATTCCCCATTCCCATTCCCATTCCCCATTCCCGTTCCCATTCCAGTCCCCATTCCCATTCCCATTCCCCGTTCCCCGTTCCCGTCTCACCGCGGGCGGGCAGCAGCCGGTACACGCGGTAGGGCCGGGCTCCGTTTCCCATTCCCATTCCCCATTCCCATTCCCATTCCCGTTCCCATTCCCGTTCCCGTCTCACCGCGGGCGGGCAGCAGCCGGTACACGCGGTAGGGCCGGGCTCCGTTTCCCATTCCCATTCCCATTCCTGTCCCCATTCCCGTTCCCATTCCCCGTTCCCCGTTCCCGTCTCACCGCGGGCAGGCAGCAGCCGGTACACGCGGTAGGGCCGGGCTCCGTCGGCGCGGCCGCGCCCGGGCAGCGCCTGGAACTCGGGGCTGCGGTTCAGGGCGCAGCGCAGCCGCGTCTTCCAGCCCGCGGGGTCCGGGGGGTCCCCGGGCCGCAGCCGCCCCTTGAACTCCGCCCACGCCTGCCGACACGCCCACCTCATTAGCATAGAGCGGACACGCCCACTCCATTAGCATAGCCCCGCCCATACGACCCCGCTCAGTCCCGCCCCCCGCCCGGGCCCCTACCCTCGGTTCCCCTGGCCACGCCCCTCTTGGCCCCGCCCCCTCACAAAGCCCCGCCCCCTATTGGCTCCTCCCCCAGAGGGGGCGTGGCCAAATCAGCTCCTCCTCCCCTATGGCTCCGCCCCCTCTTTGGCCCCTCCCACTTTCTCGGCCCCGCCTCTCAAGCAGGCCCCGCCCATTGGCGCGCAGAGCCCCGCCCCTCCCATAGCAATGCCCTCGGTGCGGCCAATCACCTTTCAGAGCCGCCCCTGGCCCCGCCCCTCATCTGGCCGGATCCCCTTGGCCCCGCCCCTCACCCTGCAGGCCCCGCCCCTCACCCTGCAGGCCCCGCCCCTCTCCCAGGCCCCGCCCCTCTCAGGCCACGCCCCTCACCCTGCAGGCCCCACTCATAGCCCTGCCCTCGGTCCAGCCAATCACCTTTCAGAGCCGCCCCTGGCCCCGCCCTTCATCTGGCTGGATCCGCCCTGGCCCCGCCCCTCACCCTGCAGGCCCCGCCCCTCTCTCAGCCCCTCACCCTGCAGACCCCGCCCCTCACCCTTCAGACCCCGCCCCTCCCCAGCCCCCTCAGCCCCTCACCCTGCAGAGCGCCGCCCCCGGCCCGTCGCGGGCCCCGCTGCGGCCGCCGTGGGCCCAGGGGATCCTGAGCGCCGTGCGGGCCGCGTCGTCCCACTGCAGCCCCGGGAAGCGGCCGCTCTGCAGCTGCGCCAGCAGCCACGGCCGCAGCCGCCGCGGGCCGCCCTCCGCCATGCCCGGGGCCGCCCGGGGGCTCCGCGGGTCCCGCGGGGCGATCCCGGGCTCGCGGCGACGCTTCCGGGAACCGACGTCACCGCGGCGGCCACGTGATCTCCGCCGCCAATCAGCGGGCGGCCGCGCGGCGCCGCCGCACGTGCGTGAGGGGGCGTGTCAAGGCAGCGCGGGTATTTGCATAAAGGGGCGGGGTTAGAGCGCACAGCACATCCCCTTATTTGCATAAGGGGCGGGGTCACGGCTTACGGCACCGACTCTATTTGCATAAAGGGGCGGGGTCAGGGCGTACGCTACCGACTCTGTATTTGCATAAAGGGGCGGGGTTACGGCTTACGGCACCGACTCTATTTGCATAAAGGGGCGGGGGCACGGTTTACGGCACCGACTCTATTTGCATAAAGGGGCGGGGGCACGGTTTACGGCACCGACTCTATTTGCATAAAGGGGCGGGGTCACGGCTTACGGTGCCGGCTCTATTTGCATAAAGGGGCGTGGTTAGCGCACACAGCACGTCGTTATTTGCATAAAATGGGTATTGGTCGCGGTGTCCACTCTATTTGCATAAAGGGGCGTGGTCGCAGCTCACAGCACCGCCTTGTATTTGCATAAAGGGGCGTGGTCGTACCACGCGGCACCGTTCTGGTATTTGCATAAAGCAGTGTTATCTCCTATTTGCATAAATGGGCGTGGCCTTTTCTACAAGCCCCGCCCCCCATTCCCTGTCCCCCCGGGCAGAGCCGAGGTTTTGGGGTCCCCCTGGAGCCCCAGGAGTTCCCCCCAGACTGGGCCTGCTCCCCACCTGGGGTCTCACCCACATTTGGGGTCACACCTGGATTTGGGGTCTCACCCGGATTTGGGGTCACAGAAATTTGGGGTCTTACAGCTTTGGGGTCTCACCGACATTTGGGGTTCTCACCCGGATTTGGGGTCTCAACCGGATTTGGGGTCTCACCCACATTTGGGGTCTCACTGGGATTTGGGGTCTCACACAGATTTGTGGTCACAGAAGTTTGGGGTCACACCCACATTTGGGGTCTCACCCGGATTTGGGGTCTCACCGGGATTTGGGGTCTCACCCAGATTTGGGGTCTCACCCGGATTTTGGTCTCACTGGGATTTGGGGTCACAGAAATTTGGGGTCTCACAGCTTTGGGGTCTCACCGACATTTGGGGTCTCACCCACATTTGGGGTCTCACCCACATTTGGGGTCACAGAAATTCGTGGTCTCACAGTTTTGGGGTCTCACCGGGATTTGGGGTCTCACCCAGATTTGGGGTCACACCCAGATTTGGGGTCTCACCCGGATTTTGGTCTCACTGGGATTTGGGGTCACAGAAATTTGGGGTCTCACAGCTTTGGGGTCTCACCCACATTTGGGGTCACACCTAGATTTGGGGTCTCACCCAGATTTGGGGTCACAGAAATTCGTGGTCTCACAGTTTTGGGGTCTCACCTGGATTTGGGGTCACACCCACATTTGGGGTCACAGCCGGATTTGAGGTCACACCTGGATTTGGGGTCTCACCCACATTTGGGGTCTCACCCGGATTTGGGGTCTCACCCGGATTTGGGGTCACAGAAGTTTGGGGTCTCACAGCTTTGGGGTCTCACCCAGCTTTATTGCCCACCCCTCATGTGGGGCTCAGGGGGTCGGGGGGTGATTTTGGGGGGGTCTCACCTGACCCCCGCCCCTCCCCCGCTCCCCGTGCCCCCCCCCTGCGCCCCCCCGGCGTCGGGGGCTCCGGACATCATGAGGAAGAGCACGATGGGGATGATGTACATCCACTGCGGGGAGAGGAGGGGTCACCCCAAAATCCACCCCGAAATCCATCCCAAATCACCCCA